AGAGAGGCCTTCTTGTTGTCCTTGTCCCCAGCCCGAGACCCAAACTCACCAGCTTCTCCCCACAGGAAGTATCAGGAACAAGAGCTCCCGCCCAGCCCACCCAGTGCCCCCAGGAAGAAAGACGGAGGCTGTCCCTGCGTCCTCCTGTAGCCCTGGGGGGTGCGAGAGGAGCAACCAGCATGAGCTCTCGGGACCAGCAGCCCTCACCGACCGAGCCTGTTTCCCCCTCTGGGTTTCCCAGGATACACTACACCCCCATCCGGAATTCCTGGCCTCCTCCAGGTCTTCGCCACTGTGTGCCTTCTGCCAACGCCTCCCTTCCCCACCCAAGCCCCTTGTTGGGGTGAGGGGCTCCCGGGCGTCCGGGTCACTGCTGTATATAATCCCCTCTCCACCCCCAGGGAAATAAACATCACTGCCAATATCATTAAGTGCTTCTTGAAAAGGGAAAAGGGCTCCAGGGCGGTGGGTGAACTCAGGGCACACACAGGTTAAAAGCCTCACTCCACCTGCCACCATCGGTTCTAGAACCCTTTGCTTGGTGGGGAGGAGGGGGTGGGCTGGGGCCAGAGAATGAGCCAAGCCAGGTGGTGTCTGGACCCCTGCTTCACCTTCAAGGGGGGGGGGCGGCCATTCTGCCCTTTTGTTTGGGTGGGCATTTTGCTGGGATGGGGTTTGACATCTAAATTTCTTTTCTTTGCTGCAAAGTTCTAGAACTGCACTATTCAGTAAGGTAGCCAGAAGCTACAGTGGCCATTTAAATTTATTGGATAGTGGTGTTCCAGAAGGCTCCCAGGATCTTGGAAACAGGCCCCTGCTACAACCCCTGCTTGCCCCTTTTCCACCTCCAGTATATATTGAGAAAGACCTGTTGGCTGCAGGAGGGAGAAGGGACAAGGTGGGCGGAATGGTGTCCAAACAGCTGGCTGGCAAGTTCTCATTTCCAGAAAGTTCCCAATTGGGCTGACATCTGAGTGCAAAGTCTTAATCCAACTTGGGGCCAGTGTAGACACATTCCACCTGAACCTCTCTCCTAGGAAGGGCTGACGTGTGGGTCTTCTTAAGGCCACCCCCAAATAGTTGCTAACTGGCTTGTCTGGGAACGCTTGGATTACCCCCATAGCCCACCCAGGACCAATTCTGCAGTGTATTTGCTAACCTGGAACGCTGGCGCCAGACTGGGAGACCACCCCTCGTCCATCTCCCAAGCCTGGCAGGCGTCCCTGAACCCCAACACCTAGTCAACACAGCAGGCCAGAAACCTCAGCCTCAGTCCCCGTGCCTTGGAACTTTGATCTCCACTGGTAACTGTCACCAATCAACGATCTACTCCTCCTACCCCCATGTCTGCTATGTTTGGACAGAACCTCTGGGCCCCCGGTCCCAAACAGCTCCCCTTCCACCCACCCCAGAACCCACTCCTGGTTCGAGGGTGGATGATGGCCCCTGGCAGCCACTCTGCCGCCTTTACTCAAGTGCTGTTGGGCAAGTGCCTCTGTCTTCCCAGCTGTAGAATGGGGGTGATCACAGCACTACTTCCCAGAGGCCTTTAGGAACCGATCTGCACCCAGAAGACAAACAGTATTTGGAGTATACTAAGTGCTATCAGTGACGGGGGCCCTACTGTTCTCCTCCTGCCCCAGAACCATGAATGTCGCTCTGTATTCCAGATTAGAACAATGATTAGCTAAATATCCCTTTCCGGGTTTCATTATCACAGAATCCTTGGCCTGTATTCAACCTTCCGCCCTGGGAATAAGCATGGCTCCAACGTATTGTGTTGCAGGTTCACTCCCTCTAGCCCCAGGACCTCAGCTCACCAGGGGCCCAACCCCTGCAGGACAGGGAGGGAAGGGAAGGGGGGGGGCGGGTTCTATCACTTTCCAGACCAGGTCTGACCTCCCTACCTAACCCCAGCCAGAGGCGAGGCACTCTTGAGAGTCAGCGGAGACCAATGTAGATGTCTCCTTCCCTGGGTCCCCCTGTCATCACAGCCCTAGCAGGCCTTAGTCTTTTTTGCATTGTCCATCGGCGCCAAGTTCTTGCCTAGGACACCCTGCTTCTTTAAGGACAACGATGTGCTTTGCAGAGGTGATGAAAGCTACCGCTTACCCCCAGAAAAAGCACACATACAAACCCACACGACAACTGGCAGGCCATTTTTGGATGGTTTGCGAGCACCACCTATCCCCAGCTCATCAGGCAACAGTGAAGAGGCTGGCGTGGCCTACTTGGCATCTCCCTAGGTGTGTGTGTGCCTCTCTGGTTCCTGCCCTCCCCGAGGCTCTGGCGGGCCCTGCCGAAGATTCAAAGTCTCTCGGGGTTCTGATGTCCCTCTTTAAACATCTTTGCCACCCTCTCCCACTTCTGCCACCTCTTGGACCTCCAACAAGCCTCTTGGGGCCTCCTGTTATGGGTAACGGGCGCTAAGTGCTTCAGACATTCAGTTTTCCTTCATCTTGACAAAAGCGCATTTTTACAAACGACAGAGCTGAGGATTCGGGCTGGTATCCAACTCACCTGGTTAAGTGCTGGAGCGGAGATCCAAGTTTGGGCAGTTGACTTCCAAAATCCAACCACAAGGTTATCCCGCCCGCAAAGGGAGGATGCTGCCCTGCCGCCCACCTTCTGAACAATCCACCCACTTTCCATAGCAGAGCTCCTACCTGAGGCAACGCCGATCATGGAACCTTTGGCTCCAATTGGACACACCAGCCCAGAGCCTTCAACGTGCCACTGCCTCTCAGAGGCTGCACCCCAATGTGCCACAGGCCATGGTACGAGGACACCAAGTTCCATCCTCACCCCTCCAAACTCCATTAATTCTAGAAAGCCCATGGTCCATCACTGACTCTCCCATTAATATCCTTAAACGTTACTGTAAAACCAGAATTCTGGAGTCGTTCACATTGGTGATGGTCTAGACAATATCCAAGGTTATAGAACGGGGGCTCTTCCTCAATTTCACCAGGAAGGGAATCTATCTAGAATGCGGATGGTCTACCCTTAAATCTCACACTGGGTCAATACCTACCGACCAACCACCATCAGTGCTGAAGCCAGGATTCTAGTATACCAATAGTCCATTCTTGACAACGGCCCGGGCTCTCGAGTGACAATGGCTTACTCACTTCTTACACGCTGGGTTCCAGGTGACCTCCAAATTGTTAATTCTGATTTTAGAACGCTGCTCCTCAAACTTGAGTGTGTATTAGAATCCTCCCAGGATCTTACTAAAAAGTGGGTTCTGACTCAGCAGATCTGAGACTCAACCCTGGAGTCTACATTTCTACAAGGTCTTGTGCGTGTGTGGGGGGGAAACGGACAGAACTCCCAAGGGTGGCAGGTCACACTTTAAGCAAGTCTCGAGAACACAGCCATCTATCCACATCTCAACTGCCGTCTGCTTGTGACCTTGTAGTTCCAGGGTTCAAAGACACAAGAGATCCACCCTCGCGTCCACATTAGGCAGCCAAGAAAAAGCTGGTCAACTCCTAACACCTGCCACAGCCTGTACCAGCTTAAAAACACACCGAGAAATTCCTCTGCTTTTCCCTCCTCAAAGCAGAGCTGAATCCCCCTTTGAGTGGGTACTGGGTTCAAGGACTTCCTTCCCGTGAACAGTATGTAGGAGGCAATGGTGTGTTAGGACAGAAAACTCTGCAAGGCTTCTTCCTTGCTCTCTCCCTGGGATCCCCTCCTCTGGGGGAAGCCGGCTGCCATGTTGTGCAGACACTCAAGGTGCCCCATGGCAAGGTCCACATGGCAAGGAACTGAGGCCTCCAGCCTGCAGCCAATCTGCACACCTTAAAAGTGAGCCACCTCGGGGTGCCTGGGTGGCTCAGTCAGTTAAGCGTCTGCCTTTGGCTCAGGTCATGATCCCGGGGTCCTGGGATCGAGCCCTGCGTGGGGCTCCCTGCTCAGCGCGGAGTCTGCTTCTTCTGCCCCTCACTCCCCTCTCGTGCTCTCTCTCAAATAAATAAAATCTTAAAATAAATAAATAAAAGTGAGCCAGCTTGAAAGTAGGTCCTACAACCCGTCAATCCCCGGAGGGCCGCTGCTCTGGCTGACTTGAGTGGACCCTCCCAACAGACCCTGGGACAGGACCACCCAGCTGACCTGCTCCCCAGTTCCTCATCCTCAGAAACCAGAGGATATCAACATTTAAGTCACTAAATTTCGGGGCGGGGGGGGGTGGCTAATTTTACACAGTGAGACGTAACGCATACAATGACCCCAGCCCGGCCGCTTCCAGGGGCTCCAGAGAAGCCCTGTTCCCGTTCCAGACCCTGTCTGCCTCTGCCACCCCTGGGGCCCCCTAGCCGCCGCAGGACAGAGGCACTCCAGCCAGCCAATAAAGTGTTTGCTGTTGGGTTTTCGTTTGGCTGGTTGTGTGTACACAGTGTATACAAGTTGAGTTGTACAGAAGCCCAAGAAAGAGCAAGAGACAAAGGGAGGTCGGGAGGTAGGAGCAGAGGGGTTGGGGGGGGAGGGGAGAGGAGACAGATAAAAAATAGAACCACATCCAGAAGACAAGGAGATGGGGCGGTGGCGGCGGGGGGGGGGGGGGAGACACAGACAATCGCAGTAGAAAAGGAGCGGGAGGGCCAAAGGGAGGGGACCCTTCTCCCCCCTCCACCTCCCCAGCCCCCCGCCCCAGGTATGTACAATAAATAAGATTAAAAATAATTAACAAGATGCGTTTTCCCCCTCCCACCCGATGCCGAATGCCCTGGGGAGGGAATGGCCTTTAGCAAAGATCTTGGCCTGTGAGGGGGGGTTGGGGGGAGGGGGTCCCCCAGCTCTCTGAAGCCACCCCGCCCCCCTCAACCATACATAGACTTTTCCTATACATTATGTACAAGGTGGAGGGGGCGGGGCTATGGCCGTGGAGAGAGGATTGGGGCAAGGTGGGGAGGGAAACCGTTACTAAATAGACATTTATACATATATATAAATAATTTCTCTGTACACCGGACAGTGGGAGGGCTGGGGAGAAAGTGGAGGGGGCGTGGGAGAGGGGAGGAGTTGAACTTTGAACCCTGCCCTGTGGGGGCAGCATGGACACACCCGGACCAATGACCCCCCCCCTTTCCCTGGCGACGGGGCCCAGGGGGTTAGCTCCTGAGGACACAGTTCTGTCCCAATTCTCCGTTCATGGAAGAGGTGGCTCCCCCAGGCTAGGCGGGGTCACCCGCAGCGGCTGTGGGCCTGTGCTTGGGCCAGCAGGTCGCTGAAGGAGTCGAAGAGCTGTTCCAGCCACGGCTGGTTCCGCATGCACTGCTGGACCACCTCCTCCTGACCCAGGTCCTCAGCACCGCCCTCGATGGCCAGGGTCTGCAGGGCGTTAAACAGGGAGCTGGGGTGGGTGGCCACCAGGGCCTGGAGGTCTAGGGATCAATACTCCAGGGAAAGGGGTTGCTGGGAGCTAGACCCCTGGGTCTGAGGGAGGAGGGGGCTGGGTGTCTGTACTCCTGGGTCTGAAGGAGGAGAGTGCTGGGTGTCTGGACCCCTGGGTCTGAGGGAGGAGGCGGCTGGAGGCCTGGACCCCTAGGTCTGAGGGAGGAGGGGGCTGGGGGTCTGGGCTCCTGGGTCTGAGGGAGGAAGGGGCTGGGAGTCTGGACCCCTGGGTCTGAGGGAGGAGGGGGCTGGGGTCCAGAGCAGAGCCTATAGGGCCGAAGCCCAGGGCGACGCGCGATGCGGGTGGGCTTACCTGGTCCCGGCAGCGCAGGAAGGTGTGGTACTTATAGTGGTGGAGTGAGTGGTAGAGCGTGTAGTATCCCGACTTGTCCAGCTCAACTTTGAACTCCTGGACAGATGGAGTGGAGAAGCCTCACCCCACTGCCCAGTGCGGGGCAGCTCCTCTCCCCAGGCGTCCACACCGCCCGCCCATCCCCAGCCCCACCTGGGCTCGGACCACGCTCCTCTTGAGTTTGCTGAGCGTCTTGCGGTTGTAGGGTTCCCCAGCTGGCCGCAGCCGCACGGCCCCCTCCTCAGGGGAGCCCTCCCCGCTCTGCTCCACTTGCAGCTGGGGGAACGTGTGCAGGGCGTCCTGCAGGAAGCCAACCAGTCAGTGGGCCATCCCCCTGGACCCACACTCTCCAAACCCACCACTCAGTTCTCAGATCCCCGAGTTGTCAGATGCCTCAGTTTCCCTCACACTGCAGATGAGGAGATACTCTGGAATCTTGGGTCTCTCAAAGGACAGAGGAGCCTAGGCCTGTCTGGTGACCCTTATAATGTGCTCTGTGGCCCACCCAAGATTCTCAGAGACCCCTAATATTCCACTCGGGATTCTCAGCCCTAGCCAGCATCCTACTCAAAGTTTTGAGATATCCTAAAATCCAGAATCCCCAGTGCCAGGCTGACACTCCAGCCCAGAAGGCTAAAACCAGACTAAGACTCCATCCCATAATTCTCACACTCATCCTAACACCCCACCCAGAGTGCTAGCACTGTATCGTCTGAGGGACTAACATCCCACCCAGAATTTTCTGAACCAGACCAATATCCGCCCAGACATTTTACGGCCAGACTAACATTCTATCCCAGAATTCTGTTGCCCTAACATTCTACCCCCAAATTCTCAGCCCCACACAACGATCCCCATCAGAATTTTCAGAGCTGCCCGAATATTCCATCCCCGAGACCTTGGCCATTCCAGACAGGAAGTCATACAGATGACTTAATAGTGAAGCCTGAGATGCTAAGAAGCCCGTGTTTACAACAGAGCAGCCATCAGAATCCGCTTACCACTGTCCCCCAGCAAGGTCTCGCCCACCTGTTGTCCCCAGACCTGAGCTCCATGAACTCTGCTGGGCTTTCCCAGCTGCCCACCCCTGACCTTCACGACGACCTCTCCACACCCATCGAGTCCCCTCCATCTAGGTCTGCAGAGACCCTGTCGTGCGGGAGCCCCGCCCTCAACTCTGCTCCTGGACAAGCCATACCCTTCCAGTGGTTGCCCCCTCCAGGGCCCGATGCTCTGTGGGAAGGGCCGTGGCTGACTTGCACCCATCACGCCCATGCCCGACCGCTGGGCCCCAGACCCCTCCTGCCCAGGCCCCACAAGTACCTGCAGGGCTGGGCTCAGCGACAGCCGCTTCAAGACTTTCTTCTTGTGCTCATTGAGGAGGCCATCGATCTTCCGCATGGGCGGCAGGTACAGCTCATCTGCAAGACCGGGGGGGGGGGCGTCAGAGGAGGGGAAGCCCCACCTGGCAGGGTAGAGGGGGGCAGGGGGGCGGGGTTCAGAGGAGGAGCGGGGGAACCTTCTTCCCCAGGCCTCGGCTCACCGTGCGTGTCCTCCAGGGCCTGGATCATGTCCGGGTCGAGTGCTGTGCTCACCAACATCTCCACGTAGCTCCGGTACATCTCCCGCATCGCCCGGGTCTTCAGCAGACGCCCAGGGACTGCTCGCTCTGGGGGGGTGGGGGGGTGGAGAACGGGACACAAGCTCATGATTCCAACTTCATCTGAGGCCGCCTGGGTGGCAGACCATGTTCTAAGTACCAGGGCCGGAAAGAAATCCCTGTTCTCTGGGAGCTCCGAGTCCGAGGCAGACCAACGTGTCCCAGCGCAGTCTGCTCTAAGGGTGGGCGTCACGGGCGTTGATTGTCACGAGCTCGGCCTGGCAAGCCAGGAAAGGCTGGTTCAAGGTGACCCAAGAACTAAATCCTGACTGATGGGGGAAAAAAGCATTCCAGGCCAGTGAGCTTCATGTTTGACTAGTTCAGTGTAGCTTCAATAAAGTCTAAAGCAGCAGCATAATTGGGTTTCCAAACCAGTGAAGCCACTCGGAGAGATCAGATCACAAAGAGCAAGACTGCGGGAGGAGGAGGGAGGTAAAGAAGACAGGGGCCTCACCCACCTGTTGTCCCCAAACCTGTGGTGGGTGCTAGGGAGCCATGGAAGAGGTGTGAGCAGGGGAGGGGCAAGGATTAAGTGTAGAAAGACCCCTCTGAGGCCATGTAGGGGACGGATCAGAGGGATGATACCAGAGGCCAGGGTAATGGACCACATAAGAAAGGATGAGGAAGTAGCGAGGCCATAGGGACAGGATCCAGAAGTGGCTGAGCAGGAGAAGAGGAGGGCCAGAGCTGGGGACTTCCCAGCTTTGGAGGTGAGGGAGCAGAGGCTTGTGTGCCTGGAGATCTGGCCTGCTGACTGAGTAGCCAGTGAGGCTGCCCCTGAGATAGGGAAATTAGGACAAGGAACTCAGTGGGATCTGGAGGGAGGGGGTTTGGGGGAGGCCTGGAGGGGGGCCAGGGGAAAGAAACTACCAAGGCTCACTGGGAAGCTGAGCCTGCCAAGTGAGAGGTGAAGCAACAAGGCCAAGGTCAGGACTTGAGGGACACTCACATGAAACCCAAGAAGGAACATCGGGGAGAAAAAAGCAGGACGGCCATAAAGGGCCCTAAAATATCCCTCAGGAAGTGGCATGAGAAATGTCCATTTGACTTATCCATGTGGAGGGTCCTTGGTGACAGCCGTTTCAAGGACCGGAGCGACCACTTGGCAGGGGCAGTCAGACCCCACCAGGCCTTGGCCCAAACCCTCCTATGGCTCTTGTCTCGCTCAGGGTAAAATCCTTCCAGTGGGACCACACAGCTCCAGGCTTCCTGTCCCTCCAAGATCTGGTCCTGTTCCGTCTCTGCCCTCACTTCTCACCCTCTCCTCTTACTCACTCGCTCCAGCCACTGGCCTCCTTTCTGATCCCCAGACACGCCCTGCCTGGAATGTTCTCTCTCCCAGTCACCCAACCCCAACCCCGTTGCACTCGGATGTCTGCTCCAACGTCATTTCCAGAAGCCTTCCCCGACTCCCCCATCCCCTGAAAACACCCTCCTCTGTACCACCTGGATCCTCTGTACCGGAAGTGCTTTTTCTTAACTGCCTTTAAGCCTGGCCAGCCTTACACTGACCATTTTTCGCATTGTTTTGTGTTCTGTTACATAACGTGTTTATCTGATGGACTCCCCCAGCTAGACTGTAAGCTCCCATGAGGATACGTATTTTTGTTTATTCTGTTCACTGCTGGAACCTCGTTTGTGGCACGAAGGAGGTACTCAATAAATAAGTGCAGAACGGGGCTCAGGAAGCCAAATGGAAACGGACTAGAGGAAGAGAGAGAGAACAGTCACCACAGTGTCTTTCTAGAACTTCTATTACGAACTTGAGGAAGGAGAGAGCATCAGCTTCTGGCACACGGAGGGTCACCACTCTCAGACAGGGAAGAGGGTTAGTTCTGAGGGCTCCTGGGCTGAGGGAAGCCTTAAGGTCAGCTAGCACGAGTCGCACCCACTCACTCCTGGTCGAATGGGCTGAGGGGAGACAGACCCAGACCCATACTGGCCTTTGGCAGGGGAACTGCTCCCAGAAGAGGGTGGAGTTCAGTTCCCCCCATTTCCAGCGCTCAGGAAATTCAGAGCTCTCCATGCATGTCCACAGTGGCATTATTCACAGAAACAACCCAGAAGTCCATCAACGAGTGCATGGATCCATACAACGTGGTCTATCCGCGTGGTGGGATAGTATTCAGCCGCAAAAAGGAATGAGGTCCTGATACACCTCCCAGGCGGCTAAACTCCAAATGTTACACTGAGTGAAACAAGCCAATCACAAAAGTCTTCACGTTGTAAGATTCGCTTTTGTATCATGTCCAAAAGAAGGGAGTGATAACCAATCGATACAGGGGTTCTTGTGGGGTACTGAAAGTGTTCTAAAATTGACTGCCAAGATGGATGGACAGCTCTAGGACTACACTAAAAACCACTGAATTTTATATTTTCAAGTAGGCGAACTATATGGCATGTCAATTAAACTTAAGTTTTTAAATCGTTTAAGAAAAAGGAAAAGGGCCAGAGAAGGAAAGACCTGCAAATCTGGGCCTTTGCTAAATCTCCTCCCTTGTGGCACCTTCATGACCTGCAGCTTCCACCTGGCCTGATTTAGCATCACCCTGCCCAGTTAAAAGACTACATTTCCCAGGCTCTCTTGCAGCTAGGTGTGGCCATGTGACCGAGTTCTGCCCAATGGGATAGGAGAGACAGGATACGGGCCACACCCAGATCCGGCAATTTAAAAGGAAGGTCCAGCCATTCGTTGGCCCCTGAGTCCCTACCCACCGGCAGGCCTATGGCTTTGGGGCTGCTGGGCTGCCTCTGACCACGTGCTTGAGGACAGCATGCAGGCGGAAGGCACAGCAACAAGAAGAAAGGAAACAGAGACCCTGGACAACCTTGAGAAGAGCCTCTTATTTTCTAGGAAACCACCACCTACGTTGTGCTTTGATGGAAAGAGAACTCACTCTCTCATCTGAGTGCCTGCACGCTTAGTCTCTGTAAAAACAGCTACCCCTGGGGCACTGGGTGGCTCAGTCGGTTGGGCATCCGACTCGATTTCGGCTGGGGTCATGATCTCAGGGTGTGAGATTGAGCCCGTGCTCAGTGGAGAGTCGGCTTCTCCCTCTCCCTCCGCCCCTCCCCCTGCTCGTGCTCTCCCCTCTCAAATAAATAAAATCTTTTTAAAAAATTTTAAAGAGAACTTTAAAAACAACGGTATCTACCTTGTAGCCTGCTATGAATGTCACACAAGTTAATTTGGGTACAGCATTTAGAGAAGACAGCCATCTCAGGCACCACATGACGGACAAATATCGCTATTATTTTAATTTACGAATTCTCGTTGCTGTCTCGCCGACACTACCTGGAACCCCGTGGACTGTGCTCGCCCATGCCTCCTCCTGATGCCGGGGATTCACCTCCTCATGCCTCCCCACCCGCCCGGTGGCTGCCAAGGGCCTCACCGTCCTCGCTGGGTGCTCCTGGGGATGACTCTGAGTCCGAGGAGCTGCCTGGTGGACCCCCGCCCGCCGAGGCATTGCCCGCCGCCTCCTTCAGCCACTTCTTCCTCTTCTTGGGGGGCGGCTCGGCCTTCACCTTGGTGGGTCGGGCCTTGGGCAGCCGGGAGGTGGCGGTCTGTCCTGTGGTGAGGGTCCGCTCAGGCCGAGTCTGCCGCCCGCCTGCGCTCCGCTCGCCCCGAAGCGGCCGCTCCCCACGTGTCACCCGCTCTTTCTCCTTTTCCTTCTCAACGGGCCGTGGTGGGGATGGCTTCTCAGCAGCAGGGGGCTCAGGCACAGGTGTCTCAGGCGTCTGCTCTGGGGGCTTCTCACATACCGTCTTATCAGGGGTTTCGGGCTTAGGAGGTGGTGCCGGGGCCTTGGGAGGAGGTGCAGAGCTGCCCCCAGCAGACACGGGGCCCTTGGCCTGCCCAGAGCGCCTGGAAGGGAATGCAGAAGGGACTGTATGCAGTCAGCAGCCGCGAAGAAACCCAAATTCTCCTCCAGATCCCCATCTAAGCCCATAGCTTTGAGCACAGAACCAGCTTCCTCCCCTGACCTTTGTTTCTTCTGAGCCTCTGTCTCCCCCCATCCCAGACCTGAGTCTCTCTCTCTCTCTCTGGGTCTCTGTCCCCCACCCTGTGTCCACTCTCCCCACCTCTACCTCTTCTCTTGAATGTTCCATCCCCGTGCCCTTCAACCCCGCCCGCCGCCTGCCCCTTGGCTCCCAGGGTACCTGACGGGCACTGGGGGCCGGTGCCAGGGTTTCCGAGCACAGACCCTCACATAATCCTTCTTGTTGACATTTTCCAGGAACTTTACGTAAAGGCGCTGATACCGGTTTTTCGCGTCCCCAAAATACCCCAAATACTATGGAAGGAAAGAGGCACACGAGGAAATCCTTCATCTACCGCAGCCAGGCAGCCCAATACCCGAGACTCGCCCCATGCCCCGGGGCCCCCCACAGAAGCCTCCTGGAGGTGGAGCCTCCCTTTGGGACACCCCCTGGACAGCAGGTGAATCCCAGCCACGCATGAGGGGGACCCCCTCCCCCAGGCCTCCCTGACTCCTCATTCCCCCCTGCAGGCTTACATTACTGGTTGCACAAAACTGTCGCTGCCCATCCTTGATCTCGGGAGTGAATTTCTGCAGCAGGGCCTTCTGCACTCGCCAGATGGGTGGGGGCTCCCGCCCCGTCTGCAATGCCAGCTGAGGAGGGGTGCAGTGAGGCCAGCAAAGTCAGCCCTTGCTCCTGCCCTTCCTGCCCTCAATTCTGGACCCCGTGTCCTCCCTCGATACCCCCTTGAGAAAAGGCAACCTCGTCAACAGGTATCACTGCACCCTGGCCGGCACATTTTTCTTTTTTCTTAAAGATTATTTATTTATTTATTTGAGAGACAGAATGAGATAGAGAGAGAGAGCATGAGAGGGGGAGGGTCAGAGGGAGAAGCAGACTCCCCGCTGAGCAGGGAGCCCGATGCGGGGCTCCATCCCAGGACTCCAGGATCATGACCTGAGCCGAAGGCAGTCGCTTAACCAACTGAGCCACCCAGGTGCCCCGGCTGGCACATTTCTCTTGGCCCCAGGACGTTTTCAGTCCTGGGGAGGCAGCTTGAGGCTGGCCACGTTCCCCCACCCCCAGGCTTACCCAAGACTCTCAAACACACTGTTCCTTCTTGTGCTAGGAAGTTTTAGTTGTTACAATGTTACGGCACAACGCCAGTTGAGTTAAAGTAATGTCAACTCCTGAGCACCCACCCACCATTTTCCAGATGCCGCGCTGGCCGTGGGGGGGGGGGGGCTGGCGGGCGGGGGTAGTACAGTGGTGAATGAAACTGACAGGGCCTTTGGTGGGGTCTTCATTACAGAAGCAGACAAGCAACAAAGTAGCAAATAAACAAAACAGGGTGAGGCTGTGGCTTGTGCCAAGAACAGATGGGTGACAGCTGACCTGAGACCACGTAATTCATGCCCCTCTCCACAACGGGGTAAGACACAGTGATAGAAGGCTCCCCTGTCTCCACTCCCCCAACACTCAGATAACCTCCCCACCACGAGACTTGTGTGACCCCCTGGCTGGATGATGCAAACTGAAGGATGTGGGTCAGACCCAGTGTCTGATCTGGGGAGAGTGAGGGGCACAGCAGGAGAGCCAGACATGACACCAAAAAAGAATGACAGCACAAGTAATAAACACGCTAACGGCAGAACCCCAGACACTGTGGAAGCCTAAAAGAAGGACCTCAAATGCAATCTGAATCCAAGAATGCTTCCTGGAAGAGGCGACACCTAAGTCCTGGAAGGGCAATGTCTTCTGTGAAGGGGCTGAGCAATGACACGGGACAGCGTGGAAGTGTGACGGGGGCACCTGGGTGGCTCAGTCCATTGAGCGTCTGACTCTTGGTTTTGGCTCAGGTCATGATCTAGGGTTGTGGGATCCAGCCCCGCATGGAGCTCCACACTCAGTGTGGAGACTGCTTGTCCCTCTCCCTCTGCTCCTTCCCCCCCCCACTCTCTTTCTCGCTCTCTCTCGAATAAATAAAATCTCAAAACAAAACAAAACAAAACAAAACACAGATGCAGCAGAAAATGTGCACTGGGTACTGTGATAACCCACAGATGAACAGAAGTTAGTCCTCGCAAAGAAATCACACTCAGGTGATAAACAGGATTCAGATGACAATTCCAATTAGATTGGTCACAGCTTAGAACCAGGCACAGCAGAAGTGCTGAGATCAATTAATGATGTCTGTCACTGGCAACAGCTGTAACACTTGGGTCCGTGTACCAGCTATCCACTGCCTGCTCTTAGTTTGGGCCAGTGGTTTTCACATCCATGATTTCGTGTGTCCCTCAGATCAACTAGGGGAGTGCAAAGAAGGGACTACAATAACCTGATGAGAACGAGGTCTAAAAAGGCTCTCGGCTGAAGTCACAAGAGGCAGGATGAGACAGGGATGCAGGCGCCCTGGCCCCAAGTCCTTTTCTCCAGGCTACCATATGGTTCCCAGGCTTCCCTCCTGGTGACCTTAGGGAGCCAGGTCAGAGGCCCAAGAATTGGACCACATCCTGCTCTGCTCCAAAACCTTCCAGGGCCCCTAGTGCAGGCTCCACGATCTGGCACAGCCAGATTTGGCCTGGTTCCTTTCTCTTCTCCTGTCCCTGCCGAGCAGGCCATCCAGATCCCTCCAAGTTCAGCAGATGAACCCCAGACTTTCTGATTCTCCAGGTTTTTGCAAATGCAGTACCCCCCCCACACCCCCACAAATGGGTGCTTTTGCCTCTCAATGTTTTTTTTTTTTAAGAGTTATTTATTTATTTGAGAGAGCGAGAATGAGAGAGAGAGTACATGAGAGGGGGGAGGGTCAGAGGGAGAAGCAGCCTCCTCACCAAGCAGGGAGCCCGATGTGGAACTCGATCCCGGGACTCTGGGATCATGACCTGAGCCGAAGGCAGTGGCTCAACCAACTGAGCCACCCAGGCGCCCCTGCCTCTCAATGTTAACATGATCTTCCCCGTTCTAGTTCTCAGAAGCCTGTGAGAAAGCCATGAGAGCATCCCTCCCAACCAGGGAAGACCATCTCCTCTGTCTCTTCCACTACCCAATCAGCCTCCTCGAAAGCACTGGCTGATTCTCTAGCTGGACGCAGGCCCCTTGGCTCACCACACCCCAACTGAACTTGGTGGCTTTCCCAAAACCACTCTTCCTCTCTGCCGTCATGGGGCTCAACCCCTGGCATCATCCTTGCCTGATCTCCAACCAGGAATCCTATCATGGACCACACCCACTTTTCCTGCCCCTGCCCAATGGAAGCCATAGCTGATTGGAGGAGACCTGACCAGGCAGCCAATCTACACACAAATCACTAATCCTATCTTGGGCCCAAATGCTGAGCCGGACCAATCAGATTCTCTTCTGGGAATCTGAACTCTTGAGAAGCAGAGACCAGGGCAGTAAGCAGCAGGATGGGAATGAGCTAGAAACACCTAGCAGAATGGTAATAAGAAAGCTTTGGGGCGCCTGGGTGGCTCGGTCATTAAGCATCTGACTCTTGATCTTAGCTAAGGTCTTGATCTCAGGGTTGTGAGTTCAAGACCCACACTGGGCTCCACGCTGGGTGTGGGGCCTACTTAAAAGAAAAAGAAAGAAAACATCATGGTCCATTAATGGGGGAATCAATGTCACAGGACCAAGGTGGTAGACAGACTGCCATCAAACCTAGACACCTCCCCAGCCACCATCCTACTAGCCAGGGACCCTACCCATTGCCAGAAAACCCAAAGCGGACTCTCAAGCAGGTGCCCATTGAGCTCACCCCAGCATGACCTGGCACCTGCTCACCTTCCCAGGCTCAGCACTCACAATCCAGCTACTCAACCCCTTGAATCCCTACACATCACAAGTACTCCGTGTTTTTGCTAACGACACAAACTTTGCACCCTGCTCCCCCGCCTGGACCGCCCTCCCCCTACTTCTCTCCACTCAACAAACTCTTACGAGCTCAGCATTTACACATTCTGCTAAATCTTCAACATCTCCAAGAACTGGGAGTTAATGTTATCAGTCCCATTTTATAGATGGGGAAGCCGAAGTAGAGAGGGGGCCAGATTTGTACTAATTCAGCTGGCCCGAGTATGTTCCATGAGTATAAAATATACACAGGATTTCAAAGGCTTGATATGCAAAAAATGTAAAACATCTCGTTAGCTTTTTCTGTGTTGATTACACGCTAAAATGATTATTTTAAATAAGCTGTGTTAAAGAAAATACACTCCTGTGGCTAATCTCACCCATTTTTAAACTTTATTTTTATTCTTTTTTTCTTTTAAGAAGTCTCCCCGCCCAATGTGGGGCTTGACCTCAAGGCCCTGAGATCAAGAGTCACGTGCTCTACCGACTGAGCCAGCCAGGCGCCCCTCACTTTTTTTTAAGCGTGGATACAAGAAAGCTTAAAATGATGTATACAGCTCATAATATTTCTCCTGGCCTACCATTGTTCTGAAGCAAACTATGGCCTGTTGCCCGTTTTCACAGATCTATAAGCTAAGAATGGTTCCTAATTTTTAAAGGATCATAAAAACAAAACAAGAAGATATAACAAAGACCCTGGGCCCTGTAAAGGCTAAAATATTTACTAGCGGGCCCTTTACAGAAAAAAAATTGCCAAGCTTTGCAGAGATGAGTAACCCAAGCAAAGCATATGGGATACCTACTGTGTGCAACCCACGGTCCCGTGCAGCTTTAATGCCTGGATCCTCCCGTTACCTGAGGGAGGTACTAACGGGATCACCCCCATTTTGCAAATGAGGAAATTCATGGTCAGGAAGGGTCGATACCAGCCCAGCCCAGAAGCGGCAGAGATTTGAACCAGTCGGGTTAAGGCCAAAGCTGGGCTCTCAGCAACGATGCCGCCAGCCTGCCCTGACTCCAAGCACACCAACGGGTCTCCACTGTCTGCAGGAGTGGTTCAGTCCTGGGGCTGTGTGTCCCCCCATTGTAATGCACACTCATGTTGTATTTTAAGCATCTGAGTCCTTGCCCGGCCCCGTGCCATCTGGGAGGTGGTGTCAGATGGCTGGGGCTCCAATCCCAGCTCGGCACCCACCAGCCGAATGAGTCCCTCTCTCTGAACGTGAACTTCCTCATCTGTAAAAGCCCTGTTCTTTCGGCCCAGGGCTGGGCGCACCCCCCCCCACACATCTGCCACTGCCATTGTCAACATTTGATAGAATGTACACAGGGAAAGGCTGAATCAGGCGCTGATAGCCCAGGCTCCTGGGGCCAACAGAGTTGGGTCCCAAGCCATGAAAGTCTAGGAAGGCTGCTTTAGTACTTGGCACCTCAGTTTCCTTCCCTGTAAAATGGGAAGAGTAATCCCTATCATGAGAGGTGATTAAAAAGACAAAACTTGCGGGCACCTGGGGAGCTCAGTCAGTTAAGCGTCTGCCTTTGGCTCAGGTCGTGATCCTGGGGTTCTGGGATCGCACCCCACGTCGGGCTCCCTGCTCAGCAGAGAGTCTGCTTCTCCCTCTCCCTCTGCCCCTCCCTCCACTCATTTTCTCTCCCTCTCTCCCAAATAAATTTAAGAAATCTTAAAAAAATAAATAAAGAGAAAACTTGGGAGACAGTGGTGAATGCAGCACAACAATGTGAATATACTTAATGCCACTGAATGGTACCCTTAAAAATGGTTAGAGTGAGGGGCGCCTGGGTGGCTCAGTTGGTTAAGCGACTGCCTTCGGCTCAGGTCATGATCCTGGAGTCCCGGGATCGAGTCCCGCGTCCGGCTCCCTGCTCAGCAGGGGAGTCTGCTTCTCCCTCTGACCCTCTTCCCTCTCGTGCTTTCTATCCCTCATTCTCTCTCTCTAATAAATAAATAAAATCTTAAAAAAAAAATGGTTAGAGTGATAAATTTTGTGGTATATAAAGGTTACCACAATTAAAGTAAAAAAAGGGGGAGTGCCTGGCTTAGTCAGTAGGGCATGTGACTCTTGACTAAGGGTCGTGAGTTCTAGCCCCACGTTGGGCATAAAGCTCAGTTAAAAAAAAAAATTTATTTAATTAAAAAAAATTAAGAACAAGGGGCATCTGAGTGGTTCAGTTGGTTAAGCGTCTGCCTTTGGCTCAGTCATGATCCCAGGGGCCTGGGATTGAGACCCACGTCGGGCTCCCTGCTCAGCAGAAGCCTGCTTCTCCCTCTCCCTCTGCCCTTCCCCTGCTTGTGTACTTTCTCTGTCAAGTAAATAAATAAAATCTCTTAAAAGAAAATTAAAAAAAAAAAAAAATCAAGCTAAATTCTGAATTCTGATTGATATGTCCCAAATCCTGTCCTGAGGAGTTGGTAGTTGTTCCTATCATTGCTGTTCATTCAATATCTTCCTCGCCTGTCCCAGCTGAGGATCAAATCAGCCTCAGAAGTCACGAAGTTAAAATGCAATAACATGGGGCGCCTGGGTGGCTCAGTTGGTTGAGCATCTGACTCTTGCTTTTGGCTCAGGTCATGATCTCAGGGTCGTGAGATCAAGCCCGGCGTTGGGCTCCGTGCTCAGCACAGAGTCTACTTGAGATTCTCTTTCTTCCTCTCCCTCTACATCTGTCCCTCCGCACTGTGCACTCTCTCCCTAAAATACGTTTTTTCCAAAAAAAATGAAATAATGTACACAAGACGTTTGGGAGTGAGAAAAGACCATGAGGGATGCAGGAAGAGGGACCAGGGAATTTTATGATTGCTGGTTGGGTTTGGGAACATGAGCAGTCACCCTAGCATTTTACTTTGTAATTCCCTAATATTACCTTTTATCAATGTTCTTTTGGATGAAGCAACCACCATGCTAAAAAAATGACAAGGCATGGATGACAGAACATGACGTCTGGAATTGGTGGGGTAGGGCAGGGTGCAGAATGTGCTGGAGCAGAGAGGACGCAGGACTAGCCAGGAGGGGACGATGGTGGAAGCTGAGAAATGGGTACATACAGTCCCATTATTCTAGTTGCTCTGTTTCTTCCGCAATAAGACGGATTAAAAATCATACAGCAAAAGACGCACTAAGTTCACCTCACAGAACATACGAAGCAGTAAAGCGTAACGATAATTGTTTAAACCGTATAATTAATTCATCCCACAATACCTCCGTCTGAAGAAACACCACCACAGAATAAGTTAAACACGATAATGTACATTTAGGGCCAAACATGTTCTTGGCCCCCACAGTCAATAGTCAGTCCATGACAATGACTAATATGAAAAAAGGCCCTAGTCTTTGGTGTCACCATCAAGGTGACAATGGCTTGCTGACCTACCAAGCACTTGCTCAGCCTCATGTTCTGAGAGAAATCTTACATGAGCATCTGATGTCACCTACCCTTGTCCTGCACCTGTACTATTAATCCTCTGATCCAAATCTATCTGTCTAATGAACCCAGTACAACAGAGCTCAGCAAACTTTTTCCATAATGGAACAGGTAAGAAAGATTTCTGGGGGGACGCCTGGGTGGCTCAGTCGTTAAGCATCTGCCTTCGGCTCAAGTCATGATCTCGGGGTCCTGGGATGGAGCCCCACATCAGGCTCCCTGCTCAGCGGGGAGCCTGCTTCTCCCTCTGCCTGCCGCTCCCCCTGCTTGTGTTCCCTCTCTTGCTGACTCTCTGTCAAATAAATTAAAA